ATTAACCAAGTTAAAACTTATCCTTCGCAACCCCTTTAACCTGTGTATATAATATTATTGTTTATTAACTTTGCGTGATATTGTATTGATTCGTTGTATTGACTTAAGGTGTAGTCACTGAAACGTAATTTCTGAAATATCCAGAAGTTACTCATGTTTAATTAAGAATAATCTTTGACGTTTACTAAGAATCTTCATTGTGATTCCCTGTGTTTAGTCTTAGCATTATTAATTTTGAGAATTTTATTTGAGTTACAAATTGGACGTAACAACGTGGTGTAATCCCCTAAAATCATTCGTATAATTTAACTGTAAAATCAGGAGTATAGTTCTGAGAATTAACAAGTTGTTTGATAACTTTTATTCAATTTGAAATTTTTAGAATGTTGTCAGTATGAATCAAATGAAAGACCATAAAATAATCAAGTAATTTTGTATTATCAATTCTAATTCTAAATATAGTTTAAGAATTGAAGAATTAGGAAGTGAAGAAAGTGAAAGAACAGAAGAATTGGAACATGAAAAATGGGAAAAGCAGAATTATTATATCATTTTGTGATATAACTAGATATGACATAAATTAAAAAGCTTTTTATTAATTTAACATTAAAATTTTGTATATGGGGCCTTTGCAATAGAAAAGGGTGAAACTGCCGGAAAAATAAAAAATTAATTAATGCTAAATTTGAACATATTTCAGCCTAAAAATCATATTAGCATATAAAAGTAAATTTGATTTTTCCCGGCAGTTTCCCCCCTTTCTATTGCAAAGGCCCCATATATTCAAGATTCAAGGTTTAAAAAATTAAATTAAATAAAATAAAATAAAAATATTAAATTTATTTTGCATTCTGATCCAACAAACTCAAAACTAAAGTTTATTTCACAGAATTTATTTTACATTAAAAATATAAAATATATATAATTCATTTATAAATTATAAGTTTAAAATTTGGTGACGCTTAATAATAAATAAAAATAAATAGGTTTATAATTTTTTTTTTGTATTTATAAGAAAAATATTTTAATCCTGAACTCAAAACATTTGATCGCATAATAGTAAAACGTTTGAAAATTACTATAAATCCTTCATAGAATTATTATAATTACAAATTAGGAAATTGTTTAAGGAATGTAAAATGAATTAAAATTGTTGAAGAAACTGAACTGACTAGAATTTTTTGGGGTGGTAATGTTTATTTGTCACCCCCTTAGTACATAAAATAACAATCAGAACTTTGGGTGAAACCGATTTAAATCACGTGCATTAAGATATAATGCAGTTATTAACTTCATTTTGCATTGCATTGCATTGCATTGCATATCGAAATTTATATAAAAACCCACAAATAAATTTTTCACTTCAGTACCTAATAAACTGTTAAAAGTTCCATCAACAACTTGTGGGTTAAAATAATTAATCCATGTTGCTTAAAATAAAATATTTTTTTTTTATAATTTATTTGAGCTTAACGTTAACAAAATAAGGTGTTCAAATAATTTTTTTTTTTTTTTTTTTTTTTTTAGTATTTTACAGTAAAGAATTTATTTAATTTTAACATCCAAAAAAAATCATCGTTATTGTAGGATTTTTATTACTCAAAGCAAGATGATGATCCATCCATTTAAAATGGGTTTTTTTTTTCGATCGGCAAGAGAAGGGAGGTCCTTAAAAAATGCTTTTATACCTAGCAAGAATAAACCATAATGAACTCCTCTTTTGCTTTCTTTTTTCCGGTTGAAAAGCAGTTACACAAACCAAAAGAATTTGCGATCAAAAATGCCGATCGACCAACTTTGAACTAGCCTAATGTTAATTGATCATTTGTTCACTTTATAATAGTTGGATTGTAGCGGACGTGATTTTGACTTTCAAACCTTTGAGATACATTCTATAATTGGATTTGGAGCATCTTCTTCGGTTCATGATGCATACTTGAAAGGAACACTAACAAAATTTGCTATTAAAAAATTCGTCGAAGGTTGTAAGGAAGAAATCATTCTAAACGAGGTTTGTTGTTATTTATTTGTGTAGTTTTTTTTTGTAGATACTTTTGATACTTTTGATATTGTTATTTAGATAAATTGATATTTTTAGATTCGTTTAATGAAAGTAGTTGATTATCATCCAAATATAATTAGATTTATTGGAGTCGTGAAATTTGAAGGTAATATAATATTTGCACATTTAATTTATTTTAAGTAACGTATTTTCATAATTTTATTTAAATTTTTTAGATGAAATAAATTATTCGCTCATTCTTGAATATGCAAATGGTGGAACACTAGGAAAATATTTATGATACTTTCAAAAATAAATGGGAAAGTCAATTGATATTTGCTCATGATATTGCAAGTGCTATATCATGCTTACATGATAATCAAATTATTCATCGAGATCTTGTATGTTTAATCAATTAATTATTATTACATTTTATAATTTGATTTAATTATATATTAATACGATTTTTTTTTATTAAAGCATCCAAATAATATCTTAATTCATCAAGGTGCGATAAAATTAGCAGACTTTGGATGTTCGTGCCTACAAGGATCAGATTTCTATACCAAAGCTTCACGTGGTGTAATCCCTTATATGGACCCTAAATTTTTGGAAAATCAATCGTATGATTTAACCGAAAAATCAGACATGTACAGCTTGGGAGTATTGTTCTGGGAATTAATAAGTTGTTCATCACCTTTCAATTTTGAAACAACAGGCGATACTTCTATCCAGATTGAAATTCTTAAAGGTGTAAGAGAGTTACCTATTCCAACCACAAATCATAAATTTGTTAGACTTTATCAAAGTAAGTATAAATTGTTTTTTATTATAAACCTAATCTTAACGTTAATCATTTATCATTTATTTAAATAGAATGTTGGCATAATAAACCAGATGAAAGACCAGATATTAAAAAAGTAATTTCGGCACTTAGTAATATTAACAATTCTGAAGAATGTGTAAGAATTGAAGAACTAGAAAATGAAGAATGTGAAAGAACTGAAGAATTGGAAAATGAAGAAATTAAAAAAACAGTTATTGATTGTGATATATCTAGATATGACAAAATTTAAATGCCCAGATTTATTTGTAAATTTTTAGAATGTGTATAGATACAGTAGATTCAACGTTGCAAAAGTTTAAATAAATAAAAAAAAAATTTATAATCTAATGCGAATTTGGTTAGCATATAATTTTATATTTCGTGATTTCAACAAAAATAACTTATTTGTCATTCGCTCATCGATTTAAAATATTCACAAAAATCACGTGCCTAATCTTTGCTATATAATGATCGTGTTCATGACGTAATTGTTATAAGCCCAAGTTCCTTCGCGTATGAGAGTAAGTTAAGTTTTTACAATAAGTGCGATAATATATTGTTTATGTGTCATAATAATGAGTTTGTTCTTGGCAGGCCAGTAATTTTTGTAATTCCGATGACTGGTCACCAGATGGAAACGTTCCAGCTAGAATTATAGTATGCTAAATGTATTGATATAACAAAACTTCTAATATATAATTGAATTACTAGTTCGAATTTGGCACCTTTAAATATCCAGCAAGGCACATGTGTCATCAACATTAAGTTAGATTGCCTATACCACGATTTGCTTCCTCCAATCCAACTTCCTCGAAACAATCTTCCCGATCCGATTACATTGGATTTATTTTTTGTGCTCATAGAAATATGAGACACTAGTATGATATTACAAGTAGTCTTTATATAGAACGCAAAATTTTTTAAACTCATTACGTATTTGATTGATTTATTGCGCTATGCGTATTAACTATCGTGAAATTCCACGATTTACTGCGCTTAACTGCTGCGACCAAATATTTATAATATCAACAAACCAACGAATCATCGAATTTAGTATCAGTAACGGAATATAATGATGAAAATCATTTCTTTAACTAGTTTCCTTCCTTCACCTGCTCAAAACGCTTTACCACGACTTCCTATTTTTGAAACTGTTGCCGTATACCACAGCACCAAAGGAAAAGGAGCGAATAAAAAGTATTCATTCTTTCAGTAACCTTTGCCACGACTTTAAAAGTCACATTCTTTTGCACGTTCGTACCGCGGAACTCATCCTCCACTAATCGTCATAGTATGTATTGTGTTGACGTGCATTCAAATTTACATCATCAAATAAACGTAGTATTAGTAGCAATAATGCGAAGAAGAGCAGCTAGTTTTGGTGAAAGCTTAGTCGTATATAATAATAATATTAGTAATAATTAAATTACCAAGTCATTAAATAAGAAACTTATTACTCCGTTAATTATTAATGTACCTTCAAAAGTAGATCGCCGAAGTCCTCAAAACGTTTCTAAAGAAAATTCATCACCAAAAAATTCACCAAAGTCTTCAACAATGCAACATCATATAGAAGAAAAGCAAGAAATATTGGATATTAATGAAATACAAAAAAAATTGAAACAATTGAGAAAGATGAAGTACCTCATTAGTCCGGAGCGTTAGCGAAGGACTATATATGTCTACGCGCTGTGTCCCGATGTCCCCCCGCTCCTCATATCATGAGACGGTTACACGTTTACAATAGTTTCTAAATTAGGTAAATATCCATCCCAATAAAAGTCATATCTAATATCTAAAATAATCTTTCAAAAAGAAATAGATATAAAAAAATTTTATTTTATTACAATTTCGTGTTCTTTCTTTTGTCAAATGGATCAATTTATCAATTATTATTATCATTTAGAATAAATAAAACGAAATATAAACATAAACAATATAAACGTAACCCTTTCGTTCGTCTGAATTATTTTTTTTTGATATTATTGAAGTGTTGTAGATGTAAATTTATTGTTCATTTTCAAGGTATCATAGAAAGCAGACGCTCTTCCTCAACCTTTCTTTCCTGTAATCTTCTACAATTCTTAATGCGTTGAAGTCTTTCGAAAGTGAATTGCTTGAAGTAAATATCGCTTAATGAACGAACTCGTGATACAGCAACGAATGAAAGGCCCACCGCAAATTCTTTGCTTCCGATATCTATTTTAGCCTTTGACAGGGTGAGTCCCTGACTCTTATGCACGGTAATTGCCCATGCTAGACAAACTGGTACCTGAAGTCGAGAACACAACGTCCCTGATTTACCTTCCCAAGTTCGTTTAATTGGTACGATTGGAACAACATTGACTCCTTCAAATGTTGTGATAGTAGGTCCTTCGTAGTGATCAAACTTAAAGAAAACTGCCGTAGGAAGAGAAGGTGGTCCCTTAGAATATACCCATTGAGCCGTTAACTAATCCAACTTCAGTCCATAGATTCGCCGTTAGCATGACACGTGCACCATTTGCCAATAACAATTGTTATTTGAGTCCCTTCGCCACGTCAGAGTCGGCCCTTTTGGCCTCGCTTCCTCCAGTATGCATCGCAAGAATTTTGGCTACTGGTCTGTTTAAAGATCGAAGCATATCAACATTAACTTTATCCACATCGGACCACGTTGTTAATATGAATACAGCATCCGAAAATCGTTCACGTTTGAATCGTGTGCAGAGCCATTTCCAATCATCTAGACTGCTTAGGGCGGATTTACCTAATTTAGAAATCTGCGATTGATCATTTTTTAATTCTGCCCATGATCACGTGTAACTTGTGAGAAGCTCCGGACTTAACAACGGTTCCCGTTTCCCTAGTAATAATAATAATACTGTTGTTGATGGTAATCCAAGTCAAAAAGAAAATGGATTAGACAAATCACCATCAAATAAGAGTCACGGGTGTACCTTTTCATCTGATTCCGTTCAAATCAGTGAAACCCTTATAGAAAGCAATATTAGACAAGATGATCATAATTTTAATAGTACGACTTCTGTTCCTTCATCAGTCGCTAATTCTAGATCTTCTTCACCCGTCTTTAATAATAGATTTTCTTCGCTTCGAGGAAAAAAAATTCACTTATACAATTTATATGATAATGATGACGACAATTCTTCATCTAATAACAATGAAAAAGATGATGATACATCGGGTATCATCAACTTCATCTTACGGTGATAATAGCACTACAAAAGATCTTAAAATCTCGTCGTCGAACATTTGAATTTCAATCATTATTTTCCAAAAACGACAAGAAACGTAACCAGAAAGATCGTCATAAAAAGCAACAACAGCGTCATCGATCAAATCTTGAACAATCAATATCATCATCTTCAGTTATGATAATAAAAGAAATGATGATTCTTTGAATGAAGTGAAAGGAAACGGTGATAACAACAAAGGGAAGCATCCAAATGGGAACGAAAGCGAAAACGAAAACGGAAACAAACAAGTGAGCGACGATCCTGGTAATAGAGAAAGATATAACATCAATTTATTAATTGATTTAAGATATAAAATTTTACTAATTTAAAATAATGGCAATTATTATAAAGCACCTATTCCTCCACGAATTTCATCATTACAGTCTTTGAATGATCAACAAGTTTCATCAATAAGGTTCATCAAAATTCTACCTCACCTCTTCAAAATTCATTAGAAATCAGAAAATCAAGTTGAAGAACGAAAAAAATAATTCTCCGGTATCATCATCATTACAACCACCCGTTCTAGCTTTCAAGCTAACTCGGCTCTAGCTGGATAAAAGCCTTAACTAGGAATTTCAATTTTTTTTTCCATTTGTTTAATTTTTTAAAAAACATCTAAATGCTAACATATGTTATTTATCTCGAAAATATTAAAAAACAATTTTTTTATCTTTTCTTTTATTGCAATCGCATTAATTAGCAAAGAATAGTAAGTTTTTTTAAATTTTTAATAGAATAAAAATTACATTACTTTTTTAGAAAATCCAGTAATAAAAAATTTCTGTAGAAAAAGGTTCTTTTATTTTAAATAAATTTTTCATTTTAATCATTACTTCAGCCGATTTGCCTATGGAACACGGCGACCCGCGAAAAAAAGCAATATTTTCAAAAACTTTTTGTAAATTTGCTAATGAGAAATATTTCCAACAAGATTATCATAAAAGAGATGTTCAGGCAACATTTCTTTGAGAACATAATATTAACCCGACCCCGGCTCAACCGAAAAATCGAATCGATCCAACTTGCTGAGCTTTAATAAAACCATAAATATTTACATTCAGTTATTATTATTATTTTAGTTATGTTTACATGTATGTTTATTATATAATTCTTTTTGTTCAATTATAATTGATCGTGTCGTGTCATGGTAGAAGGCTTAAATTACAACATGTTGTTTGCTATAGAAACGTGTTATTAATTGGAATTATGAAATAATTATAAACGCCCGTAATACTATACATAATGGAAAGTGAATACAAAGTGAATGTAATAAATAGCTAAATGGATTTTTAGAGCCTGAAATTAGAATCGAAGTAAATGTTAATGTCTTTATACGATGTGAATAGAAAGCGAAATTGTTTTCTTTCTCAGTATAATATATAACTAAAAGTTTCTATTTTAAACAAAAATATATTAACGTATACTGTATTTAAAATAAAAATACGCTCTTGTACTTATCTATTTTGACACCAGAAATATCGCTTGATCTATGGCTACATCCTTGTATGTAATCGAAATCGACTTGTCAATTAAAGCAAAAGCATTTCCAGATGCAATAAAGTTAAAAGGTTCAGTACCGGGCGGTTTAGTTTTTATACCTTGATCAGTGAAGGTTTCGGATTCATGACCAAGAAGAATTTTATAATTGTCAGGATTAACATCCGAGAACCCTTTCTTGAATTGTCCTGTAACACGAACTTTTCCTTTGTCAATTTGAGTTATTTTAATTTTTCCTTCGAGTTTTTCGAATTTGGCGAGGATTGTGTATGCTAAGGGAGATGTGTACGAATATGTACGATAGACCATAAGTAGAGATAAGGTTACCAAAGAAGTGAAAATTGTACTTTTAAGCGACATGTAAGAAAACTTTTTTAAAATGATGATTGGTCAATTTATGGATTTTTTCCTTCCAAAAATCTCATCTTTTACCATATTTATATTAAAATTTTACCAAAAAAAAAAATAAATAAATAAACATTAATATAGTTCATTTTGTTTTTTAATTGATGGACACTAGTAACTTATACTTGGCACATGGTCATGTCATGCGATAATTTGTGAAAACTTATTAAAAAATAAATTGACTTTAATTATTCTCAATTTTTTTATAAATTAATTTACATTATATAATATGGGAAATGAAACAAATTAAATTCCATATTTGGCATTCTAATTTTTAATTGTCTGTAAATATTATATAGTACTTTGAATGTTGTAGATTATTCATTTCATTTGAAGTTAAACAAAGTGATATATATAAATTTAAACTTTCAACTTTTTCAACTAATTACAATATTTTAATTTCTTATCATAGATAGAATATTTTTAATTGCTCTGCAAATTTATCAAGAAAGATTTCGGATGACATTTTCACATTTGTAAAAATTAATTAATTAAATTTGGTGATTCGTAATGTTTCAAATTCATTTAACTTCATCACAGAATCCAATAATTCATGTTTATTTTTTATAGGGGTACTTATTATAGAAATGCTGGTCAATATTTTTAACCAATTAGAAGAAAGTCTTCCTATTAAAGAAGAAAGAGCTAAGTTAGTCGCTAAAAAAAAAAATATTGAAAGAATTAATGTAAAACTATGAAAAACGGCGCGATTTTTTTTATATTGTCCCTTTTGCTTATTAGCCATTCGAACGATGTCATTTCTCATTAGAAGGGGAGTTATTTTTTATCTTCCAAGTAAATAATTTATTATATGACAGTGATCTTGTAGATTGTAATTATTTGTTTTTTAAAGTGTGGTGACATTTTAGATTTTTTATTTTTACTCTTCGGATAATGAAAACCTTATCAATCTTGAAAAAAGCAAACTAAACGTAAAGGTTTCCAAAAAAATTGAACCCACGATATGATGCTTCCCATGAAATTATTTCAAAATAAAAGAGTTGGATTGTCTTCCTGTTGATCAAATGTCAATTCCTTAAAATGATGGATAAATTGCAATAGATGTGCACATTAAAGGTTTCGCTTTGAAGGTGAGATAAAAAAATTTGTTTGCTAAGCCTTGGTTAAGATCGGCAAGACATGAAAAAACGAACCTTTGAGCCTACGTTAAAAAGAAACAAATTTCTTAAATGACCAACCAAAAAAACTATTTATTTTTTTAGCAATTTTTTTTTTTTTTTTTTTTTTAAGAAATACCGTAATAATGACGACGCGAAAGAAAGTGTTGCAGGTTTATTTAGAACGGTCATCTAACAATGAGCTCTCTTCTCAATAGATGGAATGATTGAAAATTAAAAGGTTAGCTCTTCATTGAATGAGACAATAGGAAGCTTTAAAATCGCAAACCCCAGGCAATTCCAAAGATGTCATTACGCGCTGATACATGCGACGCGATTGAGATTTCAAAAAAAAATAACCTGCGCGCACCTATCTTACATATAAAAATCTGTCAAGTTTAAAAAAAGTACACATGAGAACACGAGTGAAGTTTCTTTAGAAATAATTGTTACAACCAAATTTCCCCAGCATCTTGATTTTCTATCAGAAGTTTTAGATACGAACACATGACATTTCTGCAAAGCGGCTTTGCCTTAAAGGGTTTCGCCGATGTATAAATAAATAAGGTCCCCCCATCCAACATGAAATGGTCGGACGGTGTTTCCGTGACTGCGTCCATTCTCTTTTATCCGACCAACCTAAAGGGTTATTGAAGGATTTTAGAGTAATACAATTAATAAAAATTTAAACCCATCAAAATTTCGGATATAGGGTCTTTTGATATCATTTGCATCACGCATGATCTAAAGAACCAATCAATCGTCAGAATTCAGATAATTTCAAAACACGTTGGTTACATGTAATATAAACGTACGAGTTTGCGACATATGAAAGTTTATTTATTTTCGTGTTATTTGTTGATATTTACCTTTCTTTGTTGCAAAAAAAAAAAGAAATAAAGGTGTAAATAAATTTTACATCATAAGTTTATTAAATAGGTTTTTTTCGTGTTAAACTTTTTATTAATGATCTTCATAATGAATTCTTGAGAACTATTTTAGTTTTTCTTTCCCTTTAAGCAAAAGACCAATCAAATCATTGTTTAAGAGTCATGTTTTGTGACTTTATATTTCTTATTCGTCTGTGATGTAACTCGTGTCACGGTAAATTTAAATTTATCTATCAACGGGGTAAATCAATAACAATAATGAGATCGAACTAGTCATTCCTATCTTAATCTTTCCCTATCTTGTTTATTTGTAATTTAACGATGCCTGTTGCAATTCTTGGTACACAAATTTCACTTTGGTTTTTTGATCTACGAGGTAATTTTAAATTCAAAGTCGTTATTTGGAGACGGAAAATGACATTGACGATCTCAAGAAAGCTATTAAGAAGGAACAAAAACCACGCTTTGATGTTTTTGCTCCTGGCGCGCTTACACTATGGAGAGTTAACGCAGCTCAAATTACTTCTGAAATATCAAATGAAGGATTAGAAGATGCAAGCACAAAAATTTGGACAAGTTTTTCATGGCGTTCAAGGAAACAACGTTCGAGTTGTAGTGAAAACTCCCGATATTGGTAGGTAGCATAAAAATTTTAGAAAACGTGATATAGCATAATTTTTCGTCTTCTCTGTCATATTTGACAAAAATACCGAGTACTAACTTAATCTTGTGCTTTTTTTTTCTTGCTTATCATCAAACGCAACCCACAAAATCATTCGAGTGATCGTAGATGCAACCGATAAGTGAATTAGTAAACGCAAGTGAACACTTTTTGGTTTTTTGATTTTATGGCCATTAACATTTCGTTGTTGTCTGCACTGCATCATTTTTTCACTGTCATTTCAGTTTCTAATTTGTGTCTTGCGTCACGGAATCAAGAAATAGAAGAATTGAGAGCAAAACTGGCAGCGCTTTGTGTACAACTTGATTATGAGCTTGGTTATGGTAAGTGTCCTATCTTGTCTGTAAGTGATCAACCAATCATCTCATTTACTTCCAGCACCTCCAGTTGAAGAACTGGATCTTTCGGTCCCACTCTCGGATACGAAACTTAAACGGCTAAAGCGCGAAAAAGGTTACCTTTTATTTTCAAGGTATATAAGTTGAAATCAATGGCTTATTTCTTTTCTTCATCATAGAATACAATGAAACTGTTAATCTTGGTCTTAAAGCAAACCCTCCTTCGACTAGTGCCAAGCCTTCTAACTTCTTCCAAAATCAACAAAAGAATCCTATCCTTAATGGTCGACCACTTGAACATACTTGTCCTCCTATTACTATTTACAATAGAACCTTTGGTCAATTCCTTGAAGACTTTAGGAATTCGGATTTGGTAGTACCTTCCGATATTATGGAGTGGGTCGTAGATATTATTTCTGTCGCAACAGATAGATATACCATCGAAGGCGAACGTATGGATACAATTAGAGAGATACTTTCAAAAAAAATTGGCACCATTTCAGTGATTAGTTATGGGAGAAAAGGTTGCAAGAGCGATGGAATACGTACGGCTAAAGTAGGCTTTCACGACGCTTATATTGGGATATTCGAAGGAATTGATAAGTTGGATCTGGTAGAATTGATCCCAGTGTTCAAGGAGCAATATATTACCGAGATATTTGGTCTCAGTCATCAGTATGTTTAATTTTTATCCCATAACTAGTGCTATACAAATTCATGTGCTCATGCGATATCTTCTATTCAGGCTGATCAGATTCGAGACTGCCATCCTTCATTATCACCATTGCCGGACGAAAAAAAGACCAAGTGAATCAGATTACTCGCCATTTTCAGGCGTTACGACTTGCCTTTGAACAGCTTAGCATTTTTTACCAGGGGTCGGACTTAAATCAAACAGGACAGCGGTATTTTCCCTATCTTCGAAGTTTCAAATCGACGGAAAAAAATATCAATTTCACCTACACCGAGGAGCTGGCAGATAATCACACAAGAACTATCTGGAAAGCCAGTACAGATAATAATAAAAGGATTGTCGTGACTGAATACAATAGAGATGCACATAATATCTGCTCTAGTAAAGGTTACGCTTCAAAACTGTTATATTGTAGTGCCGATAATGAAATCCGAGCTCTTGGCGGATATAAGATGATTATTATGGAATATGCCGGCACCTCACTGGATAAGAAATTTGATAAACTCGCGCTTTTGCGTCAAAATTCTATTTATGACGATATAAAATTTGCTATTAATTTGCTACATGAAAATAACTATGTATTTGCGGATCTTCGTCCTCCAAACATTTTGGTATTATAATCAGCATGGAACGCAACGAGCAATGTTAATAGATTTTGATTGGTGTGGACAGCATGGAGCAGACCATCATTGAATATGTCGATACAGTGGCCTACAAATGTGAAACCTAACGCCTTTCTTGATAAAGCTGATGATCTTTATTGGCTTAGAAAGTTGTTTACCATTTAATAATGACAAATATGTTGGTGGTTGAAATTTTTCAAAATTGAAAATATTACTTAATTTCCAATTAGCTTTTTTATTAAAAAAAGAATGCTCTTTTTTCAAGATTTGTTCAAAATCCATAGTATTATTAACGAATTGTTCTAAATCGGTAATGTTTTCTTTATTTAAAATTTCATTATTTTCATCATTATTTACCATACCAATCCATTAATTAATTAAATTTCTCCATTCACGAATTGATGCAATATCATGAATAATTGGTGTTGCAATATTGTTAACTTGAAATTTTTTATTTGTTTGTAATATATTTACTAATCGTTTTTGTCTTTGAAATTCTCCTTTAATTTGACTCATAGCCAATACTTTTTCAGATTAAAATAAAAAATGTATTAAAATATTTTTATATAAAAAATTCTTATTGTAATAAATAAAAATATAAAATACATACATCTAAACAATTTCGTTTATTTGTATGAAAAAATCCTATCGTAGAAAAAAGTCTTTCTACTGAAGCAATATTAATACAAATTGTAAATATTTTTGTAGATAAAGTATTTAAATCTGGTGTATAAGCAGATACAAAATCCAAAAAACCAAGTATCCTATCACGAAATTGGTTTAATAAAACATTATTAAAAGGAAAATCTTGTTTTTTATAATTTTGTAATTCACCTAATAAGGAAGTAGGCATTTACCAAACCAAATACAAAATTAATAAATCATCCATTCACTTAACTGAGCAAAAGAAATAGATCGATCATTTTGAATAAAAAAATTATCTCTATATTCAGGATGAAGAAAAAAAGAAATTAATAATAAAGGTTGTTCCCAAATATTCCAACGTTTTTCTAATTGTAAAATCATCTTTTTGCTTAAATTTTGATCAGGATTTTCTTGCCAAATTTTATAAAAATAAGCAAAACTATGAAGTACATCAAAAAGACAGGCATTTTCAGTTTGTAATTTGTTTAATGCTTCACAAAAAGGATGTAAAAGCTTTTCTAATTGTCTAATTTCTTTTTATCAAATTTCATTATCAATAATTTTACAAATATCAAGTGGTAAATTTTTATTATTTTCTCTTTCAGTTTCTTTATCAAAATATAAATTTCTTTATTCAAATTCATAAGGAGCAAATTTTAAATAAGTATCTAAAAAAATTAAATTTTAATAAAAATTTTATAAAATTAATAATATTTTAATAATAAAAATATTATTACTTTTAAAGCAAACTCTGTTCTTAATAAACTAAAATAACAATAATAATGAGAATTCCAACATGTAGCACATGGAAGAAAATGTGAAAAATATTTTTTATATTTAATTATTTGTTCATCTTGCAATTTTGCTATAAAATAAACTGATCTATTAAAATATGTAATAATATGAATAGCTTTTTCAGCTGCATTTATCAAATTAGGAGATTCTTTAAAAACTTTCTCAATAATTAAATTTGTTTGATGAGCAAACATGGACCAAAAAACATCTCGACATTTTAAAGCTAAACGTTTTCTATAAATTAAAATAAAAAAATTTAAAATTTATAATAAAAATTTTAAGTTAATATAGAAATTAATATAGAAATTAATATTAACCTCATAGCTTGATTTTGAGCAACAGAATCGGTAATCATAGTATTATATTTAATATTTAGATTATCTAATTTATCTAAATAATCCAATGAAAATTTTTCAATTTCTTCCTATCTTAATCTATTTTTACTTACATTTTCTCCTCCTCATACTAAAACTTATCTATTAGAAGTAATTAAAACTGAACCCATAATCTCTTGTTTTTAATATTTTTCCATTCATCAAAATATATAGTTATTCCAAATAAATCTTTTTGTGCATATCAATCAAACTACCTTTAATAATTTTTGAATTTGTAGTTAAAATTTGACTTGCCAATACTTTTCAATTAGGTAATTTTAATCCAAAATTTGCAAAATTAATCATTTTTTAACTTGATTTATTATCAACCCATCTAAATAACCATTTATTATCTATAGTAGAATTTAAAACTAAATTTTCCCATTGAATTTTTTCTTGCTTTGAAAGAAGAATTTGATGAGATACAATCTGTAATTTTGGTTTTTTATTTTTATCAAAATCAGATTTTTCTGTTGAAGTATCAATATCAGATCCTTAAAAAGGAAATTTAAATGATAATCATATATTGCATAAAATTTTTAAAATAAAAAATAATTAAAAAATTATTTAAAAATTATTTAAAAATATCTTATGTAATAAAGAAATATCTTATGTAATAAAGAAGTAAAAGAAGAAAAAATTTTATCTCAAAATTATATTCTTCTTCATATTTTTCAGGAAAAAGAATTTTATTTTTTTCATCTTCAGTATATTGTTCTTCAAATTTTTTGCAAGTTTTAAGTGAGAATGAATTAATCGTTTTATATTTGTTATTTTATTTTTACAATAGCAATATAATGCATAATAATTAAATTTATTTGCTTTTTCTTTTAAAACAGTAATATATGGTATAATAGAATATTTTTGTGATGGCATATTTATAAAAATTGAAAATTATATAAAAACAAAAATCAGTTTTTATTTAATTAAATCTTTTTTAAATTACACAAACATGTGAAAATACTGAATAAGTAAAACAATCCAATTGTCCAATTATATAAATTTAATATTATCCAATTCCAACTTTGAAATTATGCGATGTTTTCTTTTGACTGATATTTTATTAAAATTTTTAAATAAAAAAAAAATAAAAAAAAACAATTTTTTTTACATTAAACTTTGGTAAATTATTATTTACAATTTTATATAACCACTATTAGCTTTTATTACATAATTTATACAAGTTAGCATAGTATCAACCAACTTTTTGCATATATCAGACACTAATTCAATCCAATTTTTTGAATTGCATTCCACAACTGATCCTGTGATCTAACAAGTATTTTAAGCTATCTCAGATAATAGTCCATTTCTTTTCAAAGATGTTCTATTGGGTTTAAGTCAGGGGACTGTGCTGACCAATCAAGAACTTTAACCATATTATTCTCAAACTATTACTTAATAAGATTTGCAGTGTGTTTAGAATCATTATCTTGTTAAAAGATAATATTATCTTTATACATTCCATGCCATTTGATAGTTCTTAGAAGGTCTTCCTTACAAAATTTGATGATATAAATCACCATTTATATGCCCATAAATTCAGTATATGTTACCAACTCCTCCAGAAGTAAAATATCCTCACATCATAATATTACCCACCTAAATTTAACTATTAGTTTAACATGATGATCACGTAATGGTTCATTTTGTTTTTTCTAACAATATTCTCCATCCAACCCATAAATCATAAATTTTGACTCATCTGACCAAATAACTTTATTCCAATTTTTTGCTGTCTATGATCAATATTTTTTTGCATATTTCATATGAGCAATTCTATGCTTCTTTCAAAAGTAAGGCTTTTTACATTTAACTCTTAAGCTTATTTATTTCAATGTAAGATACTCTTTACTGTACTTTCACTAACTTCAATTTTGTCTTCAGTTTTTAGTTTTTTTTGAATTGTAACTACATTTATACATTTCCTGATAAAATAAAACGCAAAAAATTTCATTTATTTCAACCTATCAGGTATCTAAGATGTCCAGATTTTGGCAGGATTTTAAAGATACTATAGGTATCTTTTCATTACTTAATTCTTATAACTGTTGACTGAGAAAAATTTTCTTTGAAAACAATATAGTAAAAAGGATATCCCTTTCAAATAGAGTAAATTCTAGCCCTTTTTTCAGAAGATAAATAAACCATATGTGTTTTTTAAAAAAGAAAAAGAATGCCTAAAGACATCCTTTTATATTTACATAAGTGTTTTGACTAAAAATTAGTCACACTAAATATGTTAATGTTTATTTAAAAAATGGTCAAAATAAATGCATCGTTAAATTTGCATATTTTTATATTTTGTGAAAGAAAATAATAATTTACCTAAAAGATTGGATAGATTGTTAAAATAGAATATGATAAACTCCTTAATTAAGTTCTTTATTTTTTTTTTAGTTGATATAGTCCTGACAATGATTTAAATATTTTTTCATAATTTTTTTAATAAGCTATCCTTCTTGTCTAATATAAATATTTGTATTTCGTTTCTTAAATTATATGTAAATATATTAGTATTCTAATTAATTTAAAATAAAAAATATATAAAATAACAATTTTACTTTTTCAATAATTTTAGATATTTTTAAAATATCATGATCTTTATAAGAAATTGCAAAATTTATATTTATATTTATCAAAATATTATTATATTCTATTTTTGTAAATTTAAATAATTCAAAATATCGATACTTTTAATTAAAGATGCTCACTGAAACTCTCTCAAAATAATTTCGTCATACCCCTTATTATGTTTTTAATATAGTTTCAGTTAATTTCAGATTTTGGGTTTTTATCACACTCCTCATATATTTTAATATAATTTCAACTGTTTATTAATAGCTTTTTTTGGGTTTCGTCCCTCATCTTTACTTTTAATATATCTTTTTTTTGGTTTAAAGATATTTTGAAATGAAGTTGGAGTTAAAGTTGAAATTGGAATTAGAATTGAAGCTGGATCTGAAATTGGAACTGGAATTGAATTTGAAGTTGAAGTTGAATCTGTTAGAGTTAAAGCTAAAAAATTAGAATTTTTTTTAATTTTGTTGATAAAATTTAATTTGATTTTGTATATTTTTGATAATAATGACATTATAAATATTATTTGATATTTAAGTATATAAAAAAAAATTAAGAAATAAAAATGGAAAAAGTGATTATTTATGCAGATCTTTAATCTAA